GAGTTATGCTCCTGGCCAGCTGTTGTAATGCTCAGCTGCTTGTAGTTGTTGTGGGCCCTTCAGTCTCTTTATCAGGTGTGGGGAGCCCCAGCACAGTTGGCTGCAAGTTCTAATACCACATTTGTTTTTCAGTATTTCTTTTAAGTGAGTAGGCTTCCAGCATGGCAGGTTGTTAGGCTCAAGGGCTTACAATTGCTATAAGCCTCCAGCCTTTAGGTCTCTTTTCAGCTCTCTGAGGATTGCAGCTTTGGGGGGCTCACCTCAGTCATGGGAGTTCCCACTTGTTTCAGGCTTTGGAAGGTGGGGAAAACCCCTTATGTGGGTCTTTGAGAAGCACAAGTCTTCTGCAGCTGACAAGCCCTGCCGCCCACAGGTCCATACACATAGTCAACACAGTCCTGACCTGTGTGCGTACCCCGACCTCCCAAAGCAGACCCAGTCTCTCCACGGCAGGAGCCCCACACACTCCACCGCCACCCCCCACTTGCCACCCGCTCCTTGTGCACGCCCTGCCCTACTGAAGTCGGCTCAGTTGCCAGGCTGCAGAGAATCTAGTCACCAATCTATGCAGGCCCACAAGTTGCCTGAGGGCTTGTTGTTGGGTGAGACCAGTCCCTAGGGTTGGCTGCCTGCCCTGGCTGAGCTGGATTAAATCAGTGCTCTAGTGGGCAGGGCATACTCTGGGCTAGCAAGCCCCAGGGAGAACTTCAATGCTGTCTGTATCAGCATTCCCGCATCAGGCCACAACAATGGCCTCCGCCAATGTCCCAGTCCCTGGAGAGGTCTCACCTCTCACTGCAATGCACTCAGGGCCTATCAGGTGAGTCTCTTTTCACCAAAGCACTGTACACTTTTTTTTCTGGTGATTTTAGGTTCCTTTCTGAAACGGGTGAGTTTGTGCATGGGCCCTTTAAGAGCTGGTTTTTATTTCTTTGTGCACTGGCTTTTCTGGGGGTACTCCCCAAGGTTTTAGTAGCAGGCAAAGTCAGATATTATGCCACTCATCTCCATCGTGCTTGGCCCACAAAATGCCTACAGTGGGGGCACTCTCCAGCTCAGGGCCCCACTCCTCCAGGGAGGCTGCCTACCTTTGGGCTGCTCCTGGGCGGCTGTTACGCTGGCGGCTTGTGGAGGTGGCGTTTATCCTTTGCCGAAGGGAATCTGGCTCCTCCACCTCAACTAGGAGTGTCGTTTTTTGCAGGAGTTCCTCTTATCCAGTTTTCAGTTCTCTCTCGGGGGTAATTTTTCCACGAGTAGTTGTAAAATGGCTGTGTCTGTGGGAGAAGGTGAGTTCAGACTTTGCTTACACTGCCTCACTAAATGTTTAATAAACTTCTTATCATTTAATTTGGCTTAGCAAAACTCAATTTTCAAGTTACCAAAACCAGTTTGGAAGCTGTTTTTAAGTAAACATGCCATAAAATATAATGTTGCCAAAAAGTTTATTAACTCTCATCCCAATTACATCTATCTAAGTTATTTACTCCCTACAATACATTTAGAGTTGTGGGAGATCAAGATTTGGCCACCCTGAAATATATCTCTTTACCTTGATTGTTTCCTCTGAGGGACATTTGACCTCCCCCACTAACTGCCTAAAGAATTTGACATGGTGGCTCCTTCCTGGAACAGATCTTCTATCATGATGGCTGTAAAGATAATGTAGGATAGAGGTTACAATAGGAAAGGCACCAAGCCTCTTTTATCAAAAAACTTTGTCTCGCCTTGACCACATTATCTATAGATGACCCTGAAAAGAATTGTCCTCCTGCCCTCTGAAGTCCCAGGCCACTACCCACCCCCAACACGTTCCTCACCTTTAGCTGCAATACTTAAGCAAGCAGCTTAGACAGAGGGACGAGTTGCTCATTTCTGAGTTTCTCCCATGTATACATGTTATAAAACTTGGTATTATTTTCTCCTGCTAACCTGTCTTGTTGATTATTTGGCCAGCCAGAAGAACCTTAAGGGAAAGGGCAAAGGGAGATTCTCCCTCTTCCCCCACAGAGTACACACAAAAACTTCATGAGACATTGGACACAATCAGCCATCATTTGAAGTTTTTTTTGACGGCAAATTTTGCAACAGAAGTAACATAAATTTGACTAGTAAACCTAGATAGAATACAAGTTCTTTATCTGCATTATATTCAATTTTGGTAACTTTAGAGATATGTCTGTTTAATGAAACCAACAAACTTAAGCTCACTCTTATACCTAATATTTTCCTAGATCACCGAACTTGAAAAGAATCTGGGTTAGTTTGTGTTATATTTCTGAGAACTTTAAAATGCCAAATCTTTACAAGTGCTTGACCTTTACTGCAACTAAAAAGAGTTTTTTTTACAAATTAATTTTAACAATACCATCTGGAGGTAGAAATTATCACAAATCTAATATATATATATATATATATATATAGACACAGAAATACATAGACACAGAGAACTTATAGTGATTAATTTTTGTGTAGAGTATTTGTAAGACTTCTCATGATCCCAATTTCCAAATACTTTCTCTCTCCATTTTTTTTTTTTTGCCTCTGATGAGAAACATTGCATTTCAAAGAATGGTTCTAAGGTCCTAGAGAAGATGTGGGTAGACAATCTATGTCACAAAGGTACAAAGAGTCTATCCAAGTTTTCTTGAAGATAGGGATTTGGGGACATATTTGCAGAAAAATTCTGTTTCTAACATCCCAATATGTACAATTATTTTGACATGAATAGGAAAAATTTTGGGGTTGGCAAAAAAGACTGACACACCCATCCACCTATTGTTGGAATGTTTCTTTCCCTCTGGGTTATAGTTTCATTTTAGCTTAGTGGAGGAGGCCTACAGAAAAATTCCTATCAGGTGCTAAATATCAGTTTTCAATTTGGCCAAATTTCTGATCATATAGTTATTAAATCCTTGTAAATATCTTGTCAGGTTTCTGGCAGAACAAACAGTAAATAGATCTGGTAGTATTGGATAAATTTATTAATGGTAATTTCAGTTTCCCCTTGGCTGTCTAAGGGTATAAAAAGCAGTTTACCAAGAAATCCCTCAGATCCCTGTCAACATTGGGAGGAGCCCTTATGGGACCTCTTTTTCAAAGGTAGATGTGGGCGTGACTGTAAGGCCATTAACCTGGGCAGCTTTTCTTTATGGTCATGTAGTCTTTTCAGAGTGGAAAAACAATTCAGCCCAAAGATTATTAGGATAAGTACTGAAGTAGAGGAGGATAAAAAAGGCAGTAGGAGTTAAGTCAGTGTTACATCAGTCTTATTGTCTTTTGTTTACGTTCCTCTAATCTCTTTAACTTTTTAGGTGTTTTGCAGTGAATCTTTCATTGCTAAATCTTGAAACCTTTTCTAAGATCCTGCATTGATTTTATCTAATTGGAATGTTTCTCATAATGATCATTGTAATTCCAGGTTGTCTCTAGACAAATTTTGCCATTTTTGCAGATCTCAACAACCCCTGAGACCACAGTTCTTAGGTATAAAATAAACAGTTGTGCGAGAAGGTGGTGCACTCAATTCTTTGAAGCTTGATGATCTCATTTCTTTTAGCCTGTGGGTTTCTCTGAGCCAAACTAATATTTAAGAGGATTTTGCTGTAGGGTGGGGAAATGGCAAGTGCTTTAACAGCCTTTAAATGTTCAACCCATTAACACCAATTTTGCAGCTTTTTTTCAGAGATGCCCATTACAAATTAGGTCTTATTTAATATTCACATGAGGGCTCTCACAGGACTCATTCCAGCTTCAGTCAGAACCAGTCCAATACCAGACCCAGTATGGTTCTTAAATCAGATCCAGTCCAACTCAAGCTGGTAATCACCAACAATTCCCATGGAAGGTTAAGCTGAAGAAAAGGAGTGAAGCAGCAAACACCAAAGAATGGAGACGCCAGAGCGATTCCAAACAAAATGGAGAACTGCAGCTGCCACCACCAGTTCCCAGCACAGAATCCAGGGGGAATGCTTACAAATGGGGAATTGCAGACTAAACCATCAGCAGTTCCCAATCTGGAATCCAGGGACAGAGATAAATCCCCAGATTTTCCAGCCAAGGAATTGTTGTTTGAAAGATTAGGGCTTTGGCTCTTGCTAGAACCCTGTGACAGCTCAACTGGCCCTGGGCAGAATCCTCTGTCAGCTCAATTGACTCCAGACAGAATTCTCTACCTGCTCAATGGGCTCCAGATAGACTCATCTATGAGCTATGGGTGACCTGCCCTGTAAATGAAAACCAGTTAGATGGCGAGCTTGGATGTAAAAAGAGAGAGGAGATCAAACTGAGAGGAACTGACCAATGGCCCTCAGATATTGTGACGAAGACAGTGAACTCAAAATGGGGTTCACGGGTCATCATACCTGTGTTTCTTGTTGTCCCAGAATGCCATCAGAAGTTCCCTTTGGTTGCACGACTGTCACCAAATCTGTTAAAAAACAAAATTTAAATGAATAAATTTGAGGATATAATAGGTTTTATTAAGTGATTCATGAATTGAGCAGCATCCCACCTAGCAACTAGAAGGGCAGTCCCAGGGTTGGGAAGTTGGAAGTTTGGGAAAATGGAAGGTTTTGTTAGGAAGGAGAGTGAGGTAAGGAAATCATTAACAAAAGAAAAGAAAGGGTTATTTTGGGCCTGGACATCTTCTATTTTGGGTGGAAGGGAACTGGCATGGGTTTTATCATACAGGTTGTCTCACTAGTACAATTCAGGAAATTTGAGATGGACTGTTTAAAGGTGACATTCCTGGGAGGAGCTGAAACTGTAATCAAGTTTGGTTTGCTCTCATTGGGGCCTATTATTTCCTCTGTAGTACATCTAATTTGCCTATTTAAAGTGTACAATTCAGTGGGTTTTAGTTACCAGAGAGTTGTGTAACAATCAACACTATCTCATTATAGAACATCTTTATTACCACCAAAAAAAAAAAAAAAAAACAGCTGCAGGTGACAGAGCTTCAATTTTCTCTAATGTACTTACTTTTTCTTCCTTGTGATATTGAAATTTATAATAAGAAATATATATTTAGTCTTCATCTCTGTTTCTAACACAGAGCTCCTAAAATCCTTGGAATGTCCTAAGTCATAAAAGCCAAAAAGATATCCTTTGTTATGTTAGTGAGGTGACTTTTGGACTGCACCTAAGGGTGGGGCTAGTTGCCAGGAGAACCAACCATGTGATTGCAGGGTTGGAACTTTCAGTCACACCTTCTTGGTATCCAGGGAGGGGTGGGGGGTTGGAGGTTGAATCAATTGCCAGTGACTAATGATTTAATCAATCATGGCTATGTAATGAAACTTCCACAAAAACCCAAAAGAATTGGTTTTGAAGAGCTTCCAGGTTGGTAAGCAAATTCTCATCAGGAGGGTGACACACCCCATTGCCACAGCCACAGAAGCTCCTGAGCTTGGAACCCTTCCCAGACTTCACCCTATGTATCTCTTCATCTGGCTGTTCATTTGTATCCTTTATCATACCCTTTAATAAACCAGTAAGTGTAAGTAAATGTTTACCTGAGTTTTCTCTATCTATCTAGTGAGCCAGTCTATCAAATTAATAGAAGTCAAGGAGGGGGTCATTGGAACCTTCAATCTACAGCTAGTTGGTCAGAGGCACAGGTAATAACCTGGGCTTATAAGTGGCATCTGGTGTGAAGGAGAGGTAGTCTTGTGGGCCTGATCCTTTAACCTGTGGGATCTGATGCTAACTCTAGGTAGATAGTGTCAGAATTGAATTATACTGTATAATTAAATTAAAGTCTCTGTTCTGCTGGGAACAGAAAGTTGGAGTCATATTGTCTCCTCTCTTATTCATGGGAAGTGCCAATTTTATCAACTAAAAATACAGTGTGCCTACCTAATTTGTATTCAAATAAACAGTGGATAAGTTTTTAGTATAACTATGTTCCATGCAATATTTGGGATATATTTATACTAAAATATTATTTGTTACTTACAAAAAATTTGAATTTAGTGGGACATTCTGTATCTTATCCAGTTAGTACATAAAAACACAGAACTCTCAAATAAGTAGAAATTTCACACCAACAGTTGTTGATGCAAGTAACATATAACCATTCTATAGATAGAGAAATAAGGTGAGTTTTATTTGAGCCAGAATGAGGGTTATAGAATTATAACATTTTCATCAAAGTTTCAAAGAGATATTTAGTTGCAAAGTAGTAGGTCAACATGACCCTGACATCAGGAAAGGGATTAATATGGGCATTACCAATAGGGCATGGAAGGGGAAGTAGGCATTCTTATGTTAAGAGAGTACATTCTTTACTTTAATGGTTAAAGCAGATGTACAATGTATGTTTGATAGGACAAGCATAGACGTATATATTAACGGGGAAGCATTTTATAGGTTATGTAAATTGTCAATTATTTTTAGATTATCACACAAACATTGTATATGAGCCTTTACATGACTTCCTATAGTTAACTTGTTTATAATAATCATAGAATAGATGATTCAACACTTGAAATAATTAGTTTAACAATGAGTTCTCAGGTGTAGTCTGCTTCAGGAAAGGAAATTCATTGAGGCTTGTAAGATCCATCAACCATCTCAAGTTGTTGAGTAATCATTGCTCTAGCCTGCATGCCAATCATACAACACTGAGTAAAGAAAACAAGAATTATTTTGAATATTATGGCTAATACAAGAAATCCAGGGAGTTTTATAAATAGGAATTGCAATCCAGATCACAAAAGGGAGCCCATAGCAGAAGGGAGCCAACCAAACAAATCAAGACTAGGTGTAGGGTCACTTAGGGCAATCACCTACTTTATCATGTGCTTTAGCAGAGATGACACATTGGAAGATACATCAGATATAAAAACACAACATTCAGTTTGAATGATTGCACACTTACCACCTTAAGATGCAGTTAAAATATCTAAAGCCATTCTATTGTAAGGGAAAGCCTTTCTCATTAAAGACATTTCAATATTTAACAGGGCTATTCGTGCTTGACTATCATTAAGGGCTTGTTGATTGAATTTAATTAGGGCTTCTATATGTGATGTGACATCCTCTAGCCCCAAAGAAGGAACAAATATATCTGCTAGGTGATCGTACCAGTGGAAGAATGAATGATCCCACCTGTGCTTAAGGAGAGGAAGATTGGCAACAGTTTTTAGTTCAGGGAGAGTCCTCCCCTGCATCCAAGGGAATCCCAAAGTGCAGCATCCTAACAATCTGGGTGGTAGCCAAGGCCAGAGGTTTGTGCCACATAAAGAGTGAGTTCCATTAGGAGCCACCCAATAAATGCCTGGCCTTCAAGACCAGTCTGCTCCAAAACAATTCCTTTCTTTAAGTATGATAGTATGATGGAAATGTTAAATGGACAAAATTAGCTAAGCATTATAAGAGTTTAAATGAGGAGATACAAGGTTGGGAATACAGGCCTGGCCCGAAGTCTTGGGACAGCTGTCTACAACAGATACCATCTTCTTCTCATCCTGGTTTGGAGGTATTTATCTTGGTCAGTGGAAGTCAAGTGTAATAAAAAGGAGTTTAAATCCACTCAAGTGGAGGAGACATTTTCTAAATGAGAAATGTGAATCCATGAGTGTAAGTCCTTTAATTTTGCAGTGCATTGATTGGTTAAAAGTACCTGTTATGATTCCTTCCAATGGGGCTACAGAGAGTCTTTCATTTGATTCCATTTCCAACAAATAACTCTCCAGGTTGTAGTCCATGATCCTGAAGGTCTTTGTCTCCTGGGAGCTCTCTGTGAAAGGAATCAGCTACTAACATTTCATTTCTTTTAAGCACCTCAATGAGACCCTGGCAACAATGTAATATATTTTTCAAAGTTAGTTCATATATCTCCTCATTTAATTGCATAGGCTGTCCTGTTATTATTCAAAAGGAGACAGCTGATGTTTACTAAAATGTGTAGATGTAAGACTGAGAAGTATTAATGGAAGAGCTTTTTGCCATGAGAGAATAAATGCTTCTAAAAGCTTTGCCAATTGAGTTGATTGCACCATTCATTAAAATGTTGCATTATTGTCCAAATGTCACAAATAGAGTTAATTACTTGTCTGGAGGAATGAGTTCCTCAGTCACTGAATAATTTGGTAGGAATTATCCTTTACAACAATTTGCCTACTAATAAAGCCATCACTTTTCTGCACGGAAAGGCCTAAACCCAATGTGAGAACATACAGATCATTACTAAGATATTTATATCCTTGAGATGGTGGCATTTGAACAAAGTTCAATTGCCATACCTCAAAGGGTCACTTAGGAAGGGGAAAGTGACCTTAAGACCCATGAAGTGTTTTCCTGGGTTTATATTTAAGACATACGGTACAGTGACCATAAGTTTTATGAGCCACTGTGCGAGAATTTCCAAAAGTATTGTTTTCCCCATAAAATCACATTTTCAGATGCTCAATGGGTTAACTGATATATACGCTGGAGCAGTGGCAATTGTGTTTCAATAGGCACCATGGTTTGTTATCAGATGTTTTGACATCTGCGTGATGGTGTCAAAAATTCCTCCTTTTTGTTGCCACCTTTATTTCTCTTCTTTCCTGGTGATTTCTTGAGCCTATAGAAGGAAATCTTTTACTGGGTTAGCAGATTTAATAGAAAAGTAGCAGGCATTCTCAAGGCTGGACAGCATATCCAGCTTGATGATGTCCTTGCTTATCCTTTAAGTTTGATCCATCTGTAAACCAAATTAGATAGTAGAATGCAGTTGTGGTCATTTTTCTCCAATAGTGCTGGAAGCAAGGTAGCAGGGTTAAGATAGTGAATAATATTTACCTACACAGTATAACCCAAAAAGGTTTATCAGCACTTACTTGACAATGTTTCCCATGCAATTTAGAATACCAAAAAAGCCTAGTTAATTTTGTATCTCCCTCTTTATAGGAAGAGAGAAAAATTTCTTTGAGAAGTCCTGGGGCCCTCTTAAAATTCTCAGAGAAACTTTTAAGTCAAAAGAAAGACTTCATTTAGGATTCAAATTTTGGTGAAGCTTGTCAAAAATATCAAAAGGTTTTAAAACACTTAATCAAACAAAGTCAAGTGTTTACTGATCTTGTATCACTTTGAAACACTGGTCACTGTGAAATAATACTTAGTTGTCCATTTAACCAAAGTGACAAAAGATGTTAAAGGCAAATAGTTTAAAAAAAATCCTTAGTTCCTTAAATAGGGTGATTTCAGCCTTTTAAAAAAATGAAATTATTTTGACAATACATAGAGTTTCTGTCTGTTAGGTTTATTTACTCAAAAGCAAAGAAAAACCTTTTGCAATATCATTAACAAGAGCAGACTAAAAGTCCAGGAAAATTATCCTTCCAAGAAAGAGAAAACCAAATTCTAATTTTACACCAGCTTACTTTTGAAATTGAAACTCATTTACTTAATTAAGTTTATTCTGATCTTAGGCAGCTAGACCATGCATAAAACTCTTTTCTGAAGTTTCCTTTTTCACAAAACTTCTATGACTTTCTTTAACATTCAGAATTTGTCCATGCCTTCTTTTTCCCCCCTAGTATTTTAAGATAAATTTATCTTTCTTAACAAAACAAAGAAAAATATTTCCATTCTTTACTGAAAACATACATCTTACATTCCTTGAACACAAAGATATTTTCCTTAATAATTTTTAGTAGCTTTAATCACATATATTAATTAGAAATCTTAACCCTTACAGATCTTAATTTTTAGTGAAAACTAAGAAGCAAGAAATTATAAACTGTCCTTTACATTAGCATTCTGTGGCTTGGCAAATTTTTAAAAACTTTTAATAATTTCTAGATACATGTTACTTCATAGTACAATCTTTTAATAAAATACAAGACGTGTTTACTAATAGACCCCAAATTCTTTTAGTTTCTCTGTAATAAGATGTCAAAAGTATATAAACCTATGTTTAGTAATTAATGTCTAGTATCCTATCTTATGTGTAAATGACCTAGAAACTCAATAAATTTCTATCATTTAACTTAATTTAACAAAACTCTAAGGTTTCAAGTCACCAAAAGATTTTCAAGTTATTTTAAGTACACATAGCATAAAACATAATTATTGTTAAAAGGTTCACCCAAAAACTTTCATCTTTTCACATTTATTTAGTTTAATTGTTTCTGATAATTATGTTTATATTGCCTACAAATCTTCCTGAGAGATTAGACAAAATCAGCTATCAATATAAGCTATTTTGCTGACAAATTTTGTAACAGAGATACATGAGCTTATTTCACTAACTAACCCAAGCTGTATGTTTGCATCATATCCAATGCTGATAACTCATAGGAAATGCCAATTTCAATCAAACCAACAAACTTAAGCTTTCATTTGCCAAAGATTATGTTTTATCACATTAACTTTAAAGGCATTTGGGTTAGTTTCTAATACACTTAGAAGTAATTTGTGTAATAACTTACTTTAAGCCAATTAAATAGAGCTCCATTAGAGATTTTAATATCTGGATGCCAAAAAATATCACATATATAACATATATGTAGACACCCACGTAAACACACAGACAGATACAAGAAAGATTGTATAGTCTCTGTTTTAAAATTTTTCCTTAGAATCTTGGGCAAGGGTGCTTTCATAGCAGTCTCCATCTCCAAAAGCTTCTTTCTCCCCTCAATCACTTTTATTTTCAGACTTAGGAATCTGGGATGGTCTAGATAATAGCTCCCAGAGAGGTCACAAGTTTTTTGTGGGACAAAAAGGGAAGGTTAGTTACTTATCAAAGGACTGCCACATCCATCCAAGTACATGTTCCTTAATTTGCTCCTTTCCCTCTGGTTACTTAGTTTTATCTTAATTTAGGGAAGAAGATCTACAAAAAATTCCCATCAGGCTTCGAGTATCAGCTTCCAATTTGTCTGAATTTCTGATTATAAGTTACTAAATCTTTTCAAATATCTTGTCAGGTGTCAGCTGGGAAAAACAGTGACTATTCTTGACAGCATTAAACAATTCCATTAATTTTTTAAATTTTAGTTTCCTCTTAACTATTTAAGGGTAGTAGTTTCCCAGAGTTTCATTAACCCTTGGAGGAGCTTATATTGGATCCTTCTTCAAAGGTAGATTACAGGGGTGTCCATACAGCCATGACTTAATAAGTGCACTTCTTAAATGACATTACCTAATTGGAACATTCCTTTTAATAGCCAATTTGCAAGTTTTGGAGGCTCAAATGAGACCCAAAGTGGCCACTGGATTTTTTAATTATCCTGGGTTATCTTGATCCAAAGATCCATCCATTTACAGTTATCCCCATTTTGTTAAGCACTTGCAAGTATCTGCTCAACCCTACATATTATACATGAAGCCAGCCACGGTTCCAGGAGGAGGCTGCCCATCCAGGAGCTGGTCAGCTTTTAGAAGTATGGTTTCCCATTGTCTTTTAATTTCATTTTACTATAAAGTCTGAAAAATATCTAAAGATAGTGTAGTGGTTCAGAAGTGTGCTGCTCATGTCACTCCCTGAAATGGTCATGAACATTCTCTTATATGTCTCAGTATTTCCTGCTTGCAGTCTAACACTATCTAACACTAAGTGCATGGATGACCATCACTCGTATGCACATCCCCAGATGAACCATCAATTACTTAAAGTGAAAGGTCGTGACCGAATTCCCTGTGGGACTGCTGCAAGTCTTGAGGCTCCACCTCAGACCCTTCCTCTAGGTTCTCAGTTGCCTGAGAATGCCTTTCAGCAAGGAGGAGCTGGTGTCCCTTCTCTTCAGAGCTGAGTGAGTTTTCAGTCTCTCATTTTGCTATTAAACAGCTTGTTCAGACTTTATAGACACAATTCTTTCTAATTGAAAGGCAAATTTAAAGAGTCAGCCTGCTCCATTCACTCCAAAGTTTTCCCTAAGCTCCCCTGGCCTAGAAAATTCCCCTTGGGTTTCTCTTACCTAGGAAATGTACCAGTACCCACTTAAGACACCTAGTCTTAAGACTTGAAACAGCTCAGGTAAAAGTCAAGAAATACAACTTAAATAAGGAGGTCCAGGTTTCAGGAGAAACTCATGGGGAGCACCTGAAGAGTGCCATGAAGCCAGAGGGGCTCAGTGGGCCAAATGGTATCAAGTGCTGGTTCAGAGTAGACTCCAGGTGTCTGCAGTGTGTTTCTCTGAAATCCTGCCACACTATGCCAATAACTGTCAATGCAAATAACCATTCTATAGATAAGAGAAATATGGTGAGTTTTACTTGAGCCAGAGTGATTATTATAACCTGATAAGGCCTGTTCCAGAAAGGAAGAAAGTGTTCCAGACAAGCATGGTTTCCAGTAAAGTCTTATGCCTTTTTAGAACAAAGAACATACATTTAACACAACCAGGGTACATTTTCATCAAAGTTTCAAAGAGGTATTTAGTTGCAAAGTAGCAGGTCAACATGACACTCACATCTGGAATGGGACTGATATGGGCACTCCCAATAGGGCATAGGAGGGGAAGTAGGCATTCTTATCTTAGGAGAGTGCATTCTTTACTTTAATGATTGAAGCAGATGTATGATGTATTTTTGATAGGCCATAAATCAGGCTTCCTTAGTTCACGCCAAGTCAGTGTTGAACCCAAATATTTACCCCATATACCTCAATATGTGAAAATCTCTTGTCACAGTGAATAATTTTCAGTATATTTATGTGCCCTATAACATTTGGTATATTAGCATACAAAATAGTTGTTTATCCGAAATTCATATTTAATTGTGTCCATGATGTTATCTGTCAATCCTGTCTGTTCAGCCTCTGGAATTGCACAGATTAGTAGAGCACATGCTCAATTGTTGACCAAGGACCAAATAGAATTCATGTGTCCTTATTCCATATATCTTTCATTCTAGGATCCTCTAAGACTGAGAGCCTGTACCTTGAAGACAGAAAGATGACAAATAATTGCACAGAATCCACCGCCTGGAGGGTGTGCCATACTCGAATGGCAAAAGCCAGACCTCCTATTATTACCTGCCCTAAACTATTGACTCAGTTTTTCAGTATCATTCTCATGGCTTGGAATTGGGGCACTGTCCATTCTACAACTGAAAGAAAATACAAATAGGATTTTGACTTTAAACAAAGGTGGAATGTCAGCATCAAAGTCAAGGCTTGGAAAATGTACAAGATCAAAAGTGTTGACTTACTGAGCCTAACACTACTTACCATGCTGGTCATGATAGCCCAGCCAAGAAGCATAGTGAGCAGTAAATGAGGAAGGTGAGAGCAAAGGCTGCACAGGTGTCACTGGAGCAAACAGCATCTGAGTATTAACCTCCTCCAACACCTGAGAAACAGGTGCATGTTAGACTAGGGAACAATAACAACCTATTGTAAAAATAAGTGTGAGAAAGAGTGCAGACTGAAATTTAGGGAATGTTTTAGCAAACAAAACTTTGCACTTAAAACCTTACAGAATCAACAGATAATCAACAACAGATCATCTCAGAAACGACCCTCCCTGTTTGTAAATAGATACTGAGTGTAAGAAAGCTTCTTCTCTAATCTGTTACCAGTAGATCTTTGACACCATTTGAAACAAAATGAGACAGGTTTCAATATTAGAAATTTGAACACATCATAAGTATCCCTTGTAGAAACAGATGCATTTGTCATAGTAATAAGTCTGCATATTGTCTAGGACACAGTAGATGTTGTCTGTTTTGGTACTCCAGGGCTCTGCAGGCTAAGGCTAAAGTGATGTGAAAAGTTTCCTTTTGTTGTTGATTTCTAGTTTCATACCATTGTGGTCAGAACACATACTTGACACGATTTCAATCCTCTTATATTTTCTAAGAGTTTTTTGTGACCTAACATATGATCTATGCTGGAGGATATTCCACCTGCACTTAGGAAGAATATGCATTCTGCTGCTGTTTGATGCAATCTTCCGTATATATCTGTTCCCTACTATTATTGCATTGTTATCTATTTCTCCCTTCATATCTGTTAGTAAGTGCTTAACATATTTAAGTATTCTTATGTTTGGTGCATATATTTTTTTCCAGTTTTATTGAGATATAATTGACATACAGCACTGTATAGGTTTAAGGTGTACAGCATAAAGACTTGACTTACCTATAATGTGAAATGACTATCATAGTAAATTTTGTTAACATCCATCTCATATAGATACAAAAATAAAAATAAAATATAATTTTTTCCTTGTGATGAAAACTTTTAGGATCTCATCTACAAGCAACTTTCAAATATATCATACATCAATGTTAACTATAGTCATCATGTTGTACTTGTCTTATATCTGGAATTTTGTACCTTTTGACCACTTATCTAATCCCCCCATCTCTGGTCACCACAAATCTGATCTCTTCTTCTATGGGTTTGTGTTTCATTTTGTTTTTTATTTTTAGATTGCACATTAAGTGAGATCATGCAGTATTTGTCCTTCTCTGTCTGACTTATCTCACTTAGCATAGTGGTCTCACGGTCCATTTATGTTGCTACAAATGGTAAATTTCCACTTTTTTATGGTTAAATTATACATATAATCAACTTCTTTATCCATTCATTCATTGATCAACACTTAGGTTGTTTCCATGTCTTGGCTATTGTAAAAAATGGTTCAGTGAAGCTGGGAGTGCAGATATCTCTGTGACAGTGTTTTTGTTTCCTTTGGATGTATACCCAGAAGCAGAATTGCTGGATCATATGTTAATTCTATTTTTAACTTCTTGAGGAACCTCCATACTGTTTTCCATAGTGTCTGTATCAATTTACAACACTATCAACAGTGCATAAGTGATCCCTTTTCTCCACATCTTCACCAGAATTTGTTATCTCTTGTCTTTTTGGTGATAGCCATTCTACCAGATGTGAGGTGATATCTCATTGTTGTTTCGATCTGCATTCTCCTAATGATCAGTGATGCTAAGCACCTTTTGTTGGACTTGTTGGCCATCTTTGGAAAAATGTCTATTCAAGTTCTTTGCCCATTTGTAATTGGATGATTTGTTTTTTTGCTTTTGAATTCTATGAGTTCTTTATAGAGTTGGGATATTATCCCTTATGAATATATGAATTGTAAATATTTTTTTCCAATTCTGTAGGTTGTCCTTTTCATTTTCATGATCAAATTTTTTGCTGTGCAGAAGCCTTTTAGTCTGAGGTAGTCCCACCTGTTTATTTTTGCTTTTGTTGCTTGTGCTTTAAGGTGTCATATCCAAAAAATCATGCTTAAGATCCATGGCCAACAGTTTTTTTCCTGTTTTCTTCTAGGAGTTTTACAGTTTCAGATTTTACATTTGAGTCATTAATCCATTTCAAGTTAAATTTTGTGTTTGTGTCTTTAATCTATTTTGACTCATTTGTGTGAATTAAATTAAGTGGTGTGTGATATGGGTCTAGTTTCATTCTTTTACATGTGAATATCCAATTTTCCATGCACCGTTTTTTGAAGAGACTGTCTTTTCTCCACTGAGCATTCTTGGCTCCTATGTCAAATATTAGTTGACTATATATGCATTGGTTCATTTCTGGACTCTTGATTCTTCTTCAAGATTGCTTAAGCTATTCCAGGTTTTTTGTGGTTACATATAAATTTTAGGATTTTTTTCTCCATTTCTTAAAAAATGCCATTGGAATCTTGATGGAGATTGTATTGAAACTACATATGGGTTTGGGTGATGCGGACATTTTCACAATATTAATTTTTCCAATCCATGAACATGGGATACTTTCCTATTTTTTTGAGTGACTTCTTTGATTTCTTTCATCAAAGTTTTGAAATTTTCAGTGTGGAGATTTTTCACTTCTTGGTTAAATTTATTTCTAAGTATTTTATTGGTTTTATGCTATTGTAAATGGGATCGTTTTCATTATTTCTTCTTCAGATAATTTGGTGTTAGTGCATAGAAACAGTACGGACTTTTTGTATGTTCATTTTGTGTCCCACACTTTGCTGAATTTGTTGATTAGATCTAGAGTTTTGGGGTTTAGTATTTAGGATTTTCTATGTATAAAATCATGTCATCTGCAAAAGAAGACAATTTTACTTCTTCCGTTCCAATTCTGATGCCTTTTATTTATTTTTCTTGCCTAATTGCTATGGCTAGGACTTCCAGTAGTATGTTGAATAGGAGGGTGAGAGTGAGTACCCTTGTCTTGTTCCCAGTCTTAGGGTAAAAGCTTTCAACCTTTCACCATTGAGTATGACGTTAGCTGTAGGCTTGTCACATATGGCCTTTGTTACGTTGAGTTACTCTTTTTTGTGTGTGAGAAGAAGTTTAGCCCTGAACTAAAATCTGTTTCCAATCTCTATCTGTTTGCTGAGGAAGATTGGCCCTAGGATGACATCCATGCCCATCTTCCTCTACTTTATATGTGGGACGCCTGCCACAGCATGGCTTGATAAGTGGTGCAGAAGTCCATGCCTGGGATCTGAACCTGTGAACCCCAGGATGTCAAAGCGGAGCACACAAACTCAACCACTGTGGCACTGGGCTGGCTCCAAGATTTACAGTCTTTTTATACCTAATTTCTTCAGAGTTTTAATATAAGCAGATTTTGATTTTTATCAAATGCTTTTTCTGCATCTGTTGAAATGATCATCTTATTTTTTCCCTTTGTTCCTTTAATGTGATATATCACATTTATTGATTTGTGTATGTTGAACTATCCTTGTTTCCCAGGGATAAATCCTACTTGATCATGGTGAATGATCCATTTAATGTGCTGTTGAATTCAGTGTGCCAGTATATTGCAGGAGTTTTTGCATCTATGCACATCAGGGCCTACAGATTTCTATTCTTTTTTAAAATTTAATTTTATTGTCCCATTGGTTTTTAATATTATGTAAATTTCAGACACACTTCATTATATTTTGACTTCTGCATAGACTGTGTTGTGTTCACCACCAAAAGCCTAGTTTTCATCCATCAACATACATGTGTGCCCCTTTACACCTTTCACCTTCCCTCTACCCCCTTCCCCTCTGTTAACCACTAATCTGTTCTCTGTATCTATGTGTTTGTCTATCTTCCACATATAAGTGAAGTCATATGGTAATTGTCTTTCTCCATCCAAATTATTTCACTTAGCACAATACACTCAAGGCCTATCCATGTTGTCACAAATGGTACGAACTTATCTTTTTTTTGGCTGTGTAGCATAAAATTGTGTGTGTATACCTATATACGTATATACCAATATAAGTGTGTGTGTATATATATATATATACCACCACATATTCTTTATCCATTCATCCATTGATTGGCATTTAGTTTCCTTCCCAGACTTGGCTATTGTGAATAATGCTGTAGGGAACCAAGGGGTGCATATATCTTTTCAAATTAGTGTTTTCATGTTCTTTGGATAAATACTCAGAAGCAAAATAGCTGGATAATATGGCATTTTAATTTTTAATTTTTTGAGAAATCTCTATACTAATTTCCATAGTGGCTGCAACACTTTACATTCCCACTAGCAGTGTAGGAGAGGTTCTATTTCCTCACATCCTCTCCAACACTTGGTATTCCTCATCTTTTTAACAGTAGCTATTCTGATGGCTATGTGGTGACATCTCATTGTACTTTTTATTTGCATTTCCCTAAAATTTAGAGATATTGAACGTCTTTTCATGTGTTTTGTGGTCTTCGGTGTATTTTTTCCTTGGAAAAATGTCTGTTTATATCCTCTGCACATTTTTTGATCTGCTTGTTCATTTTTTTGTTGTTAAGTTATACGAATTCTTTATATATTTTGAATATTAACACCTTATTGCATATGTGATTTACAAATATTTACTCCTAGTTGTTGGCTTGTCGTTTCATTTTTTTGATGAATCCTTTGCCGTGCAGAAGATTTTTAATTTGATATAGTCTCGTTTGTTTATTTTTTTCCTCTTGCCTGAGGAGCTATGATATTCAAAAAGATACTGCTAACACTGATATCAAAAAGCATACTGCCTATGTTTTCTTCTAAGTGTTTTAAGGTTTCAGGTCTTACATCCAAGTCTTTAATCCATTTTGAGTTAATCTTTCTGTATGGTGTAAGATAATTGTCTACTTGCATTCTATTGCATGTGGCTGTCCAGTTTTCCCAACACCATTTACTGAAGAATACTTTCCTTTCTTCATTGTATGTTTGTGGATCCTTTGTTGAAAATTAGCTGTCCAGCTATATATGGGTTTATTTCTGGGCTCTTGATTCTGTTCCATTGTTTTCTTTGTATAGAATCATGTCATCCACAAATAGTGACAGTTTCACTTCTTCCTTTCCAGTTTGGATTCATTTTATTTCTCTTTCTTGCCTAATTGCTCTGGCTAAAAC